GCTTGTTGGAACAGCCATGTCTTGAGGGCGCGGCGGAAGGAAGGGAGATCAGGGATCACCCTGATCTCTGGGGGCAGCTCATTCCAGAGGGTGGGAGCTCCCACAGAGAAGGCCCTCCCCCTTGGGGTCGCCAGCCGGCACTGTCTGGCCGACGGCACCCTGAGGAGACCCACCCTGTGGGAGCGTACTGGCCGATGGGGGGTAATCTGTGGCAGAAGGCGGTCTCGAAGGTATCCTGGTCCGCTGCCATGGAGCGCCTTAAAGATGATAGTCCTATCCTATCCTATCCTATCCTATCCTATTTTTTCTCTTCTCTTCTCTTCTCTTCTCTTCTCTTCTCTTCTCTTCTCTTCTCTTCTCTTCTCTTCTCTTCTCTTCTCTTATCCTCTTCTCTCCTCTCCTCTCCTCTCCCCTTCCCTTTTCTTCCTCTTCTTATATATTTTTTTTACTTTGCATTTGCTTTTATTCTCATTTGTAATCTTTAATAAAATTATTTCCCCCCCCAAAGTGTAGAAATTTGTCATCTTAATTTGCAAATATTTCACAGTTCAATAGGGAATTTATACATTTTATAAACTGGGCTGTGCAAATGCAGATCATGGGCAGCATAGAGTGGGAAAATAGCTTTTTTTTTTGCATTAGAAATGTTTGTGCGCTTGTCCTGTTCCTGGTTCTTGTTGCTCAGCCCAGCTTTTGATCTTTGCTGCCACTGGGGCTAACCCGGAATGTGGCGAAGCCTTGATATGGTAGTTGAAACGATTCCGGTTTAAACTAGATGCAGCCCTTTGCAGTTAAGCAGCAGCTGCAAAGAGCAAGCAAGACAAAATTGATGAGACGATACGGCTGCCTTAAAGAGTTGCCGACGGTTGGGAGGGGTGCGTCTTCCAAAGGACTTTTTTTTTTACTGTTTTGTCCAAAAAAGCACCTAAATCTTACAAATTACTGAACGCTTTTTTTCTTTTTTAAACAATCTTCCGTAGATGCTGGAATTACAGCAACCAAGACTCGGTCAGCCCCTGCACGTTAGCTTTGCTTTACCTACGGCTGAGGATTTTGTCCGACGACATTCTCCATTCTGATCTGGTGCGTAACTCGTCCGTTGCCTTTGGAGTAACTGCTGGAGATTTTTGTGGCTCTAATACCAGCTTCTGTTTCGTTGCAGATCTACTATTTGGGCTGCCTCTCTCCCTATTTGTTGGTGACTTTTGTCCTTTGGCGTTTCTGGTGTCTTTCAGGTAATTATTTACAATAGCCGTAGCAATAGGTCTTAGACTTATAGACCGCTTCGCCGTGCTTTACAGACTCTCTCTAAGCAGTTTACAGAGTCAGCATCTGTTATGGATGGATGGAAGGAAGGATGGATGGAAGGAAGGAAGGAAGGAAGGAAGGAATAGCAAATAGCAATAGCACCTAGACTTATATACCACTTCACCATGCTTTACAGCCCCTCTCTAAGTGGTTTACAGAGTCGGCATTTTGCCCCCCCAACAATCTGGGTCCTCATTTTACCGACCTCGGAAGGACAGAAAGCTGAATCAACCTTAAGCCGGTCAGGATCGAACTTCCTGGCTGTGGGCAGAGTCAGCCTGCAATGCCGCATTCACGATTGACATTATTGCATTATTTACAATCATAAAATCATGGAATAGAAGGGACCTTGGAGATCTTCTATCCAGCCCCCTGCTCAAGACAGAAGACCTTGAAGAATAATAATAATAATAATAATGATGATGATGATGATGATGATGATGATGATGATGATGATGATGATGATGATGATGATGATGATGATGTTGGAAGGGACCTTGGAGGTCATCGAGTCCAACCCCCTGCTCTTATACTATCCCAGACAAATGGTTGCCCAGTCTATTCTTGAAAACCTTAATTCCCTAATGTTCATTAAAACATAACGTAACGTAACATCACAGAACACGTAACACAACAATATAACTTAACATAGCATAACATAACAACACATAACACAAAGCACAAACACATAACATAACACGTAACACATAACACAACATAGTACAGCATAACATAACATAATGTAACATAACAACATAATATAACATAACACAAAACACAAACATATAACAACATATAACATAACATAACATAACAACATCATAGCATAACATAACAACACATAACACAAAGCACAAACACATAACATAACATGTAACACATAACACAAGATAGTACAGCACAACTAACATAACGTAACATAACACAACAACATAATATAACATAACTTAACACAAAACACAAACATATAACAACATATAACATAACATAACAACATCATAGCATAACATAACCACATAACACAAAGCACAAACACATAACATAACACGTAACACATAACACAACATAGTACAGCACAGCATAACATAACATAACATAACATAACATAACATAACATAACATAACATAACATAACATAACATAACATAACATAACATAACATAACTTAACACAAAACACAAACATATAACAACATAATGTAACATAACGTAACATAACGTAACATAACGTAACGTAACGTAACGTAACGTAACATAACATAACATAACATAACACCATATAAAACCTTAATTAATACAATTGAAAACCTTAATTAAAAATTTAGCAACACCATGCAAATGAAAAAGTTTAGAATATGTAAGATTAGAATATGAAGCCTTTTAACTTCAAACATTCTTTAAACCAATGGTCATAACTACCTATAGTTAAGACCTACATAAAAGTGTTTGGCCTTTTTGTTTAAATCAAAGGGACATTAAACCAATCCTCATTTAGCAGGTCCAAGTGTCAACATTTCCAACAAAGGCACAAATTGGTTGTACCCGGAGGAGATACTTAACCGATATTAAATCTTGCTATTGGCATAATGTCAGCTAACGTAAAGGATGCAACTTAATGGCACTTGATGTGGATTGATTTGGTTAACTTGGGATTTTGCAAAAATTGGGAAGAACGCTGTTTTCTCCAAAGGCTTCATTAAATGGAAATATATATATATATATTTAAAAAACTATATAGATTTCAGAGAGGCTGTGATTTTGGTGATGAAATACATTTCTCTGTGGGTTAGAGAGAGGCACGTGCTGCGAAGAAGCGAGTCCGTCTTCAAATTAGCTTTTTGGGTTTTCTGGGGGGGGGACACCCTATTTTGTGTCTTGCAGCGTGACGCCTCTCTCCTTTTTTTGGGGGGGGGGAGGAAATTACACTATCCAGCAAATTATGTCTCTCTTGAAAAGGAGGATTGAACGATAGTAGACTTTACCTGTATTTTATTTTATTTAAAAAAGAACCACGGCACTGGCTTTATGTTCAGCTCTGAATTATTAAAAGAAAAAACTCTTTGTCCATGGAAGGCACCAGGATATCACCAGCTGGTTGAAACCTGTTTTTAGGCACTTTGCCGACTCAAACATTCCATCGGGTTAAAAAATAAGACAGATTAATAGTAGATCATTAACAAGGCGAGCTAATGGATAGCAAGAGGAGATAATTTTCTTTACAGGTTGTGTTTTTTTTTGTCCTTTCGCCTTTGGAGAATACCTGAATAAACCACGAGGTTTTGCTGATAACGTTACAGCTTCAGGTTAAAGTTATCTCTTCTGAAGGAAGCCCCACTCAGGTGGAAGTTACTCACTCCGGAGTGGACTGAAATGTTAGCAGGCAGGAGTTTTAACTGTACACCATTACGCATCTAAAATCTAATACGGGGTGTGATTTTTTGCGCTGAACCAAATTGTGTCGGGGAGCCCGTAGAAGAAAGACAGGATATAAAATTCTCAAAATAAAAGGAACACCAGTCAGTCAATCAATCAGCCATCAACCAAGAAGAGACTGGACAGCCATCTGTCAGAAATGGTGTAAGGGTCTCCGGCTTGAGCAGGGGGTTGGACTAGATGACCTGCAAGGTCCCTTCCGACTCTGTTATTCTATTCTAGTACGTCACAAAAAACCACAACTATAATAGGTTTTCAATCAATCCAACAACAAACTTGATCCAGTAAGGCTTCGTAAGACCCAGTTTGTTTATGTTTATGTTTATTTAGATTTGTATACCGCCCTATCTCCCTTACGGGACTCAGGGCGGTGAACAGGCGATAATAAAAATCACAATAAATATCTATTCTAAAATCAAATTAAATAAATAAAGACCAGATATGACAATTAAAGATGAAAGATGACGTGGGGAATCTTTGTAAACAGCAGCTCGCGTCCTTTAAAGCTGTTTTCTCACCGTTTCACAGACGGTTCGGTTCACGATAATTGCGCTGTGCACCTGATCAGATTCTGTAGGGTTTAAAATTAAATGGCTTTACAAATCTCTGCTTGGGTAGAACTAGCCAGAGTTTATAAAATAAATGTCCTTTCCTCCATATCTATGGAGATTCTCAGCCATCCACCGAAGCTGCTTTTTCCACGAGGCAACTGAATTTTCTTGTTTTTCCTTTGAAGACGTTTCGCTTCTCATCCAAGAAGCTTCTTCAGCTCTTTCCTCAATAATTTTGGGTGCCTTAGAGTCAGCATTGACTCCGGGCGAACTGCTGGGAGAAGCTCCTGAAACTTTCTGGGAAAGATTTTGGAAATGGTTTACTCTTACCTGCTTCTCTTACCTGCTTAAGAAGAGACTAGACAGTCACCTGTCTGAGATGGTATAGGTTCTCCTGCTTGAGCAGGGGGCTGAAGACCTCCAAGGTCCCTTCCAGCTCTATTCTATTCTATTCTATTCTATTCTATTCTATTCTATTCTATTCTATTCTATTCTATTCTATTCTATTCCTGGGAGGGTGTGATTGGCCCAAAGTCACCCAGCTGACTCTGTGCCCAAAATGAATAGAATAGAATAGAATAGAATAGAGAAATGAAGAATAGAATAGAATAGAATAGAATAGAGAAATGAAGAATAGAATAGAATAGAAACAGAATAGAATAGAATAGAATAAGTGAAGAATAGAATAGAATAATAGAATAGAATAGAATAGAATAGAAAATGGAATAGAATAGAATAGAATAGAATAGATAGAATAGAAAAATGAAGAATAGAATAGAAACAGAATAGAACAGAACAGAACAGAATAGAATAGAATAGAATAGAAAATGGAATAGAATAGAATAGAAAATGGAATAGAAAATGGAATAGAATAGAACAGAATAGAATAGAATAGAGAAATGAAGAATAGAATAGAATAGAATAGAATAGAATAGAATAGAATAGAATAGAATAGAATAGAATAGAATAGAAAATGTAATAGAATAGAATAGAAACGGAATGGAATAGAATAGAATAGAAAAGAATAATATAATGATAATAGAATAGAATAGAATAATATAATGATAATAGAATAGAATAGAATAGAATAGAATAGAATAGAATAGAATAGTCATAAGTGTGAAAAACTTAACTCATAAATATCTTTTCAGTGTCGTAACAAATGCTTGTTGTGTTGTGCAGCCATCCCTCACCTAGATAGTTCAGCGGTGGCTGAGGGAGGACCTCTTCCTACGGATGAAGACCCAAACCAGAGCAGCAGACCAGCAGAACGTGGAGCGACCCCTGACCCAAATGGCCTGGAGGGGGGTTCCTTAAACCCCCAACGTTCCCGTTCAGGAAGCTGAAACGCACGGACGAGTTGTCTTCACAAACCCTTTCCTTTTCCAAGCGGTAGTAAAATGTCCCCTTTTTCCCTTTGGATTTATTTGGAGACCCTGGAGGGGAAGCATGCATGACATCCTACACCAAGTCAACCTCCTTCCAAATCAAGAGCAAGTTAAAATGATGGTTTTGAGAAAAAAAGATCATTTCTGCAAAGCATTTTGAACATTCTCCAATTTACTACATAGCGTGTCCGTGTTAATATTGAGAAGGACCTCCTGCCATGACTTCAACCACTTTTGATTGACAAATGAAACCATTCTTCTAAGACTTGTTTATTCCTTGATTTGGGTGCATGAAGGATCCCATTATTTACATCCCTCTTCAGCTGGGGATCAAATAATAGACCCTTATTTGTTTTATATAATTTTCAAAAAGGAAAAAAAAAAGCCCCACGGTTTACGCCAGCGCCTTGATTTATATATTTCATCCTCTGTCGTCATTTTGCCTTTAATTCTAGATCATTCAATCTGATCCATTGTTCAAGGCAATTCGATGCTCTTATTCTGATTATGGGTTCATAATATGGAGAGGAGGAACAATTTTCTGGACTGGGGATAGGGAACCACACCTAGAATACCGCATCCAGTTTTGGTCACCACGAATTACACACACACAAAAAAAAGATGTTGAGACTTTGGTAAAAGTGCAGAGAAGAGCTACTAAGATGATCAAAGGCCTGGAGACTAAAACATAGGAAGAACAGTTGCAGGATTTGGGAATGTCCAGTCCAGAGAAAAGAAGGACATGGTAGCAGTATTCCAGTATTTGAGGGGCTGCCACAAAAAAGAGGGGGGGATCAATTTATTTTCCAAAGCAGGACAAAAGACAATGGATGGAAACTCATCAAGGAGAGAAGCAACCTGGAATTAAGGAGAAACTTCCTAACAGTGAGGACAATTAACCAGTGGAACAGCTTGCCACCAGAAGTTGTGGGTGCTTCAATACTGGAGGTTTTTAAGAAGAGACTGGATGGCCACTTGTCTGAAATGGTATAGGGTCTCCTGCTTGAGCAGGGGGTTGGACTAGAAGACCTCCAAGGTCCCTTCCAGCTTTATTCTGAATTATATAGCCATGTCTGCTGTTAATAAGCTCCTATGCCTATAACCTGAACAGATCATTCCCTATTAATTAACTGCAGGACTTGAAAACCAGCCAGTAACATTTAACAGAATAACAGAGATGGAAGGGACCGTGGAGGTCTTCTAGTCCAACCCCCTGCTCAAGCAGGAATCGCTATACCATTTCAGACAAATTTGTTGGGAACAATCAAGAGAAGAGAGTATTAATTGATGGTTAAGAGTTGTCAGACTACGTTGTGATCATGCCACTCGCATTTTGTTTGACATGTAATGGAATCGTCTACATTCACTTCAGAATAATTGTTTGGGCCTTAAAAGCCTTAACCAGGTTGTAACCTGGATATTTACAGGACCATCTTCCCTATCTTCCTCATTTCTTGCTCTGGATATCAGGTTTATCGAGTTTAGAAGTTTTAACACCAAGTTATTTTTATGGTCAATCCCAATTTTGTAGACTGCAGATATTGATGATTAAAAATACCAAGATTTTATTTTTCTAGAGTTTGATTAAAGCATGGTTGCTCGGAAAGCTGTTTGGCTGAATGTTATTTTGAATACAGCTCCTGTGGCTGTTTTATTACGTGCTGCTGATAAGTGATTGATCTTATTATATGACTGCATTTTATAAGTTACCTTCCATTAGCTGAGTGGAAAAGCATCAAAAGTAAATACGTCTGTAAGAGAAACCAAGAGATATGGGCTAATGTGGGAATTCATTAGAGTAAACAAGAAAGGGATTAATAATCTTAAACCTGCCTATTCTTATCATTCCGATGTTATGATGTCAAACTGTACTTATTATTTAACAATTACGATTGCAAATAGAGTAGGTTTATAACCGTAATCTCCTGCAATAAACTATAATATTTAGTGAATATTAGAATGTCAGAAATTTAACAGGCGTTAATTAGTCACGATGGTTGAAGCATATCATTTTAGGATAGCTTTCAGATCAGTATTTGGCGTGGATTTCTTTCTTTCTTCTCCCCACCCATTAAAGTAAGTAAATGCTTGTTAAATATCAACTCTTTGTTGTCCCAAGCAAAGAGATAGCAAAGCTGGGTTCTATCTCAGTCTGTAGGGATTAGGGTTAGCCTCAGAAAATTGTGTTCTGAGCTGGAATAGAATAATAATACAATGGAATGGAACGAAACGGAATGGAAAATGGAAAATCAAAAATAGAAGAGAATAGGAATAGAATAGAACAGAATAGAGAATAGAATAATTATAGACTAGACTAGAATATAGAGTAGAATAGAATAGAATAGAACATAGAACATAGAACATAGAACATAGAACATAGAACATAGAACATAGAATAGAATAGAATAGAATAGAATAGAATAGAATAGAATAGAATAGAATAGAATAGAAAATAAATTAGACTAGAATAGAATAGAATAGAATAGAATAGAAAATAAATTAGACTAGAATAGAATAGATTATAGACTGGACTAGACTACACTAGAATATAGAAATAATAGAATAGAATAAAATAGAATAGAGTAGAAGAGAATAGAACAGAATAGAATAGAATAAGGAATAGAATAGAATAGAATAGAATAGAATAGAATAGAATAGAATAGAATAGAATAGAATAGAACATAGAATATAGAATATAGTAGAATAGAATAGAATAGAATAGAATAGAATAGAAAATAAATTAGACTAGAATAGAATAGATTATAGACTGGACTAGACTACACTAGAATATAGAAATAATAGAATAGAATAAAATAGAATAGAGTAGAATAGAATAGAATTTGTCTCTGGTGTAGAAGCTCACAGCATACATACAAACAACAAAGTTGCAGATAAATCATTGTTATGTTTTGTAACATAAGATACAAAAAACAAGTGATAAATCATAAGATACCAATGGGAGAAGATAGTTAGAAAGACGAGAAGATGAGAAAAGACGATGAAGGAGAAGATGAGAAGGATAATAGCAATATAGCCTACTACATGAGTAAATACTCAAAAATTTTCCAAAATATATTGATTCTTGAGGTCGAAACGCCAACAAGCAAAATCATCGTTAATTATCCTCAAGGATAAAGTGAAACTTGAGGTTGGTGGCTGAAGATTTGGGTTGTCATTGCTTTCTGAGAATTTGATTTTTCAACTTCCCAAACTAGCAGCAGCTCAGGATTATCTGAGTATCAGGTGTAAGATAATTATATATTAGGGTAAAGAAACTATAGCTAGCTTCCTACGCTGAGGACCGTTGGTGATAGTCATAATTAAAAATGACTCAGTCAACCATGATTACATTTTGCTAGATCAAAGAAGAATCCCAGCCATCACAACAGCCAAGGAAACTTGACTATGCTTTAACATGGTTTCTATTACTCTTTCAAAACTACACCTTGCCATATTACGATCCAGTATTATTTCCCCAAGAACATATTCAAAACACGGTTATGTAACGGGTGGCCCTGGAGGACGTATTTACACTCATGTGAAACGGCGTGACTTTATTTTATTTGCAGAAATCACCATAATAACCAGGTGCCTAGGTAGGGAAGGCCAACGTGACAACTGTAATGACGTCAAATTGTAGATACTAGAGAGCGGAAAACACCGTGTCAACAGTTTCTTGATTGGAAAGGAGTAATAAAATATAGCTAGGAAGATAAATGCATGAATACTCAAGGTTTTTTTTTTTAAAGNATAATAATAATAATAATAATAATAATAATAATAATAATAATAATAATAATAATAATAATAAAGTTGGAAGGGACCTTGGAGGTCATCGAGTCCAACCCCCTGCCCAGGCAGGAACCCTACACCATTTCAGACAAATGGCTGTCCAGTCTCTTCTTAAAAACTTCCAGTGTTGGAGCATTCACCGCTTCTGGAGGCAGGTGGTTCCACTGGTTAATTGTTCTAACATTCAGGAAGTTTCTCCTTAGTTCTAAGTTGCTTCTCTCCTTGATGAGTTTCCATCCGTTGCTTCTTGTCCTGCCTTCAGGCGCTTTGAAGAATAGCTTGACTCCCTCTTCTTTGGGGCAGCCCCTGAGATATTGGAACACTGCTATCATGTCCCCCCTCATCCTTCTCTTCGTTAAACTAAACATACCCAATTCCAGCAACCGTTCCTTATATGTTTTAGCTTCCAGTCCCCTAATCATCTTTGTTGCTCTTGTCTGTACTCTTTCCAGAGTCTCAGCATCTTTTTTACATCGCGGTGACCAAAACTGGATGCAGTATTCCAAGTGTGGCCTTACTAAGGCATTGTAAAGTGGTATTAATACTTCACGTGATCTTGATTCTATCCCTCTGTTAATGCAGCCCAGCACTGTGTTGGCTTTTTTGGCAAGCTAACTTACCTTATGGATGCCTATCATCCATTGCTACTTATCTGTCTCTGCTGTGTTATAGTATAGATTTCCAAAGACGTTTGGAAACCAAAGAAGGCCTTAGCTGAGAACCTCTTTAACTACACACTGGAGACAACATCATTTTGCAGTTCAACCAGGTTTATTTCTGAGCAGGCCATCAATTCAGGTGCACATCAATGGAGACAAGAATAAGCTTTTCTTTTCTCCTAACCCGTCTCCCTTTTTCAGCAGGTGGATATTAATGCAAATAATTTGATTACACTATTGTGTTTTCCCGTTGAAAGGCTGACATCTTAACCTTAAGCTTCCTAAGGGCTGAAGCAGAAGTTAATGAGGTGCCATTAAAAAAGCCTTCCAGATGTTGCCTTTAAACAAGGATTTAAAGGTTCGAGATCGTGTGGTTTTAGATGCCATGCTCTGTAGACGTAACATGATAGATGATAGTACCAGTAACACCTATCCGACATATTTTTAAACATTTTTGCTAACTTTTCTGGTGGCAAAGTGCCATCTATAAAACATTTTGGCTCCTAGGCACTTGATAAGTTGGTGGTAAAGCAGCATCCCTGTTGACTGACAAGGGGCTTTGATTATGTTTGATACTTCCAGATAATATTACCCACACGCCATAATCCATCTTAAATAGGATTATAGACAGTCTTCCATAATCTAATCCTTTAGATCAGATGGGCAATCTTCCCCATTGTGTA